CTCAATTTTTTGCTTTCATAATGGCTACTTTTCCTTTCAACTGAGGCCGGGCTCTGCTGCCTCCTATAATTTTCCTAATTGCTTTCTCTTCTGTCCCGGTTTATGCCTTTACAATGGAAAAGAAAAATATTAGAAGGCATATTTTGGGAAGGGAGGGGCCAGAGCAGCTCAGAGGAGGCGGTTATTTCCTAATTGTAATGTGTCTCACTAACTCCTCAGTGCGGCTCTGACCTACCCTCTTGTCAGAAGTGTTGTCATATATGCAAAAAACTGAGCTGGGAGGGGGGAAATGAATTTACTGGGGGCCTACTGTGTGTCTATACTTAGGGATTGTTTCACTTAGTCTTCAAGAAGTGTTTTCGTCCCCATTTGCAGGTGAGGAAATGAGGCCCTGAGGGTGAACTTGTGGTTCTCACAGAGGGCCAGCATCCAGATGCCAGTCTGTCTGACTCCAGGCCTGTGCTGGTGTACGGCCTGGCCTTTTCCGGTCTGGTTAGTGCTGCCATGACAAAGGGAAGGGGAGAGGAGCTTTGGGTCCCAGAAGCGTGGATACCGGGAAAGACACTCATATCTGGGCCTGAGGTTATGATACCAGCGTGTAGAGGCAGTTTCAGTCTGTGAGAAAGAATAAAACCAACTCCATTCTCAGAAGAGCACTGAGTTGTGGAGCGATCGTCTTGATTTGAGGTGGCTGCCATCGCCTTCCTCAGGGCATAGAATATGTGCTTTCACCACTGGACCACTTTTCTTCACAAAGAATGCCGTTAGTTAGGTGTACATTAATTCTACTGGTACTAAGTGTCCTTAATTCTACTAAAGAAGATTTGAATACAAAAACAGTATCAATGCACTTAGTTTGAAATGCACTTACTTTGTCTTTTTTGACTGGCGTGGATAACAGAGGGTGTAGGTAGGGGTGATATGTGTGTGTGTGTGTGTGTGTGTGTGTGTGACAGAGAGAGAGAGAGAGAACGGAGAGAGAGAGAGAGAATGGAGAGAGACAGACAGACAATGGATATTTGTTGTGTTTTGGGAATTCACCTTGGAACTTCAGTTGGCTTCTTAATTCATGCTGAAGAGAGTATCACCTCTAATTGGTTCTGAACCATAGAAAGCTAGCTGCCTCCTTTCTAACCAGATGTACACTTTCTCTGAGGGGAGGAACATTAGGGTAGACCGGGAGTAGTGTGTGTGTTGCGGGGGGATGTTGGATCACTGAATGGAAATGCTTCCTTGGCACACAGCTTTCTTCAGCTCTCTTGAATCTTTCTGTTTTCACTAACATGCCACGTGGGACTCTAGGGGAAATAAGTTCACCAAGGAAGTGAGAAAGTAAATAGGAGTTGCTGGAGAATTGGTGGCTGTGTAAAACAGTTTCTTAAACAGGGAAAGAGATTTATACATGCACTTAAAACTGAGGGAAAGGTTTATACTTGCTACTGGATCTGGATTGACGTTTTAACTTCTCTCATCTGAAAACACTACAAATTAACTATTGGGTTGTCAGAAAAGTCATGACGCATTTTTGCAATGAAGAATACAGAAAAAATATGTCATGACTTTTCTGACAACCCAATATTTTAAGCTGTGAAACCAAGTTTGTAGTAACAGACCCAGCAATTAATCCAGTGTTCATCTCTTAAAAAATAATGTATTACAGCTCCACCAGGTGGCTGCCAACAGTGGGAATGAGACAGGCTGACATCCACCAGGAGGAGGGAGAGGTGGCTCCTGATTTTGTTTGTGCACCATCTCCACTACATCAAGTTCAGTTTAGTGAAGGGCAAAGAAGGGAGACCATTGCAGGTTTTTCTAGGAAGTCTGTCTGGCAAACAGCCCCCACCCCCAAGAGATCACTATGACTCACTTTTGACATATAAATACCTGAAACCCATAGACCGTTTTCTGATGGGTAATCGGGCTACAGGCTCATGTATTCTGGTGCCCTCGTTCTGACTAGTATTTTTGGTTTACACAAAAGGGTACAGGATACTGTAGGCCCATAGGTTAGGCTCGGCTTTTGACCAGTAGACCCTCAAGTGCGATCTGGCTCAGATGCTAAATATCATAATGTATAATGCTTCACAGTGTAGCAGGAAGGAATGCTGCTGACCTTAATTCTGTTCTGTGCTCTGCTCCTTTTAGAAGGGGGCTTCTTTTTTCTGGCTCTCAGTTTTATCATCTGTGAAATGAGTGAATTATATTGGCTGATTCCAGAAACTCTTAGCCATGTTCATAAGCATTGGAGTGATTTCTATTTTAATTTGGAAAAAAAAAATAAACTTGTTAAACACTTGAAATCAAATAGAAAAGAGAGGGAGAAGAACTATATTTAGTGTAGATATTTACATTTTTTAAAATTAAATTCTACATTATGATATTGAGGATAAGAACTGGAGTGAAGCAGTCTTTTCTATTCTCTCTTTAGTTCCAATATGGCACAGATGTGATAATAAAGTCCATTTGCAGCCTTGCTGAAAGTATCTTTTTAGATAGAAAATGTTAAAAATAAGTAAATTGAGGTATCAAATCGTTTTAGGCAGCACAAAGAATAAAAAAAAAAAAAACCCCAGCTACTATTATAAAACACTGAAAGGTGAAATTTATTTTCCCAATTTGTTGGTTCTGTTCTCATCTAGGTTTATTGGTTCTATTCTCATCTAGGTTTAGAAAAAAGAGAAAGAAATAGCCTCTTTCTGTGCGTTAAGTAAGTATCTTAATCATTTGACAACCAAAGAAAGTATAAAATGGAAATTTTCAGCGCTCTGAGTAACACTCATTGGTTTGTTCTTTTGTATTCTAAACATTGATTAATAAAATGAACCATCCTCCATGGATCCAGGTATTCTAAATTGCAGTTAGTAAGCATATGACATTTTAAGTGATTTAATTTTTTTCATGTTAGTTGAAGGTTCTGTCTTGAAAAAAAGCCAGAACCCAAATTTTATTCCAACGTTTAACAATACAACCAGTTTAGGAAATAACCACTGATTGTAGTGACAATAGGAATATAGTCCCATGCTCCTTGTACTTTCCCCATTAACAAGTGAATTTGTTATTTTACTATTTCTGCATTCTTCTTAAAAAAAAGTGAATTTATTATTTAAAAAATTGTGAATGAAGACTGATTCATATGGTGGCTCCTCCTGCCCTTTCAAAACAATCAGTTTCCGCATTTTTGCTACTATCCTTGGTTTAGTTTGCCTTCTTCCATATGTGCTTTTATTGGCATATTGCTGTGCCACCTGTTTGGAGTTGGGAGTATTAGCTTTGACTGCAACAAAGACTGATCTAGGAGTTTTCTTTCCTGTGAGACATTTAGATGAATAAAGAATCTTGGATTTTAATAACTCATGTGTTCTTCCTGCTTATGTCCTACCTCAACTTGTCATAAGGCTCCTTGAGAACATTGTATCTGGTTGCTATGGAATTGATTGATAATTAATAAAGATTATGACTTTGGGTAGAAATTAAGCAGAAGGAACCACTGCTTTCTTAAAGAGACCGGCTAAACTCAGTTTCAAATATTGGCACAGACCTTCTATTAATTTAATAATCCTGGTTTTGGTGGAAATTTTTAGAAAGTTAGTTTCAAAGTCTGCCTTACATCAAAGGTAAAATCTTAAATTCATTTTAAATTTCATTTTTTTTATTTAAGAAGTTTCATTTTCAATCCTTCCAATTAGCCACATGATGAAAGTTTACCAATGAAAAAGACACACGTACACACGTACGCATACACACTTTACATATTATATATTATTCTTAGCAGTTGTTTGAACTAAATAATTTCCCCATATCTTTTTGTTGAGCAAAAGCCATGGCAGTGTTTCAAATACATATTTTTAGCTCTGGAATTGAAATTTTAATGTCTACTTTTCAGTGTCCTAGCTGTGAGTTTGAGAAATATTCTACATGTTCACCTTATTATGCATTGAAAAGGAGTTCGTGGCCATTTTGCTGTACCTTCTTATAATAACCCAGTTAGTGGCATTTCATTTCATTTCTCTAAGTTCATTTTCCACGTCTGTATAAAATGGAGGTTGTGGGTATGGGCATGAGAGATGGGGGTGTAGGTTAGAACAATTTCTAATGTCTCTTCCAGTTCTAAACATTTTATGACATTATAGAAGCAAAATGCTTCGATGGTTCCATGACCACATCTATTTTTGTTCATCATTGAGTTGGCTTATACGTAAGAATTTCATTAGCTATACCCAATGCTGCATGTGGGTTTCTGAAAGATTTAGTTATATTCTAAATCATTTAATTTGCTTGGCTATAATACATTTAAAGTTTGCCAGAAGTGTCTTTGTCAAACAAGAATTTGAGTTGGCTTTCAAAGAATCTGAACAAGGCTGAATGTAAATGGAATTGGAGTCATTTATCAGTATCCATTCTTTTATTAGTTGGATTAAAGCGTAAGCATTTGGCCCAAGGAATACGTGTAGCTCTTCATGTTTTTAATGGTTTAGCCTTAATGCTATATTCCTCTTAGCTTGCAATAAATACAGAATAGTATGGGCATGAGTAGAATCCCAAATTCTTTAGGATTCTTATATCTTCCATCTCCCATGAAGTCCATAAGCAATAAAATACATACAGCTGTCATTCTGTCTCTCTGCTTGCTCTTTTCTGGGTGTTTGGTTAGATGACTAATTTGTTTTCTACTACTATCTAACCTATTGGGTTGTCAAAAAAGTCATGACGCAGTTTTGCAACGAAAACCATAGAAAAAATATGTCATGACTTTTCCGACAACCCAATAGTCAGAATACTTTTTGTGTTCTTAAAGAGCCAATGAGTACATTATGTCACCATTACTTTTACAATCAAATGATCAGAGAAGAAAATACCCTGATAAACGTGAGGCCTTTTGAAATCCTTGCATGAAGGGAAGCAACCCAAGTACCATATTGATATCTAGTATCTTGTTGAGAAAGTTGCCCAGTGTATATTGGTTTTGCACTTTCCATAGTGATGTTGTGTCATTTATTTAGATATCCTTGGAACAGAAGATCTTACTGTGGAAACGACTGCTAGTGATGCTGTGAGATTTTATCCTTGGACCATTGATAATAAATACTACTCAGCGGATATCAATCTATGTGTGGTGCCAAACAAGTTTCTCGTCACTGCAGAGATTGCAGAGTCTGTGCAAGCGTTTGTGGTTTACTTTGACAGCACAGAAGTAAGATTTTGTTTTCCATGGAATCTTGAATAAGACAATGTCTTGGGCTTTCTTTTTCCCCCCCGCCTTTTCTATGAGTTCTCTTACTGTCTCTTTTTCTGTTTTTGTTTATGTGTTTGTTTTTCCTCCTTCTAGAAATCTGGTCTTGATAGCGTCTCCTCATGGCTTCCACTGGCAGAAGCGTGGTTACCTGAGGTGATGATCCTGGTCTGCGATAGAGTGTCTGAAACTGGTAAGAAACTTTGATAGGACAGTAGTTGGCACATACGTTTGCCATTCCTTGGTAAACAGTACATTTGTTTCCTTAACTTAGAATAGTACATCTCATGTGACTTTATTAGTTTACAAAACATTTTCAGCTAGTTCTCTTTGGAATCTTGGAATGTTTACTTTTTTTTTTTTTTAAAACAGGCACTTTGGGTTTGTGAAATCATTTTCTTTATATTACTTTATTTTGGATGCCTTTAGAATAACATTGACATTAATGTAAACACACTGAAATTTGTGGAGAGTATTGCCACAATATTTATGTTTTATTTTATTTTTACGTGTAAAGGTTTTTATTTTTGCGTATTATTTTAGGTGTAAACCGACAAAAAGCTCAAGAATGGTGTATCAAACATGGCTTTGAATTGGTAGAACTTAGTCCAGAGGAGTTGCCTGAGGAGGATGGTAAGTGTTTGTGTCAGGAGAAAATATGACATTTGGATTTAGATATGAAATTATTGAATTCAGGGAAGAAGAATCACACTGAAATTTAAAAAACATGTTTTCCCCAGCTGTTTGAAAAGATTTGTGCAAAATCCATTGATGTGGCCTTACCATTAATCAAATAATCCATTTATTTGGTTTCACTACCCATTTTAGGATTTTTGAAATGTTGTGTGTTTTTCTTATGGCTCAAGTAAGAGGATTTCTACCTTAAATTTTAGTCATTTTCCTAATCTCTTATCCATTCTCCATGGGCAAAAAAGGAGAGTTTGACCTATATTCATAAATAGGTAAAGTTTATGTTCCTTATTTTGACTTCTAGTAACCTAAGACTGAATTCCCAGGAACCATAGGGGGTATGCCAGTATTATTTGTATGTCTTTTGGACATTTGAAACAAAAAATAGACCCAGAATGCTTTCTTGGGGCAGCTCTGCACTTAACTGCCTTCTACTACAATCTGGACCTTCTATTTCTTCCCGGTCCTCCTTAACCTGCCCCCATTTCTCTTCTCATCTTTACTCCTTCCAAGTACACCTAGGCTGGCTGCTGTGGGATCTACCAAGATAAGACGGGTTTTGGCCCACCAAAAGCTTATAATCTGGTATAAGAGATAAAACATGTATACAAATAATTGAATTACCAAATGGGACAGCGTAAGTATTATAAAAAAATATTGGTACTGTGGTATTTCAGAGATAGAAGAGATTATTTCAAAGAATGAATTGGCACCATGAACTCTCACGAGTCAACTCTTCATGGGGAGGAAATGTAAATGACACTGGAATTGTATTTAGAGGACTGGTGGGTGCGTGGCATTGAGAAGATGCCGCTTGTGCCAAAAGACATTCTTGGACAGGGCAACAATACAAGTTAAACTACCTAGACAGGCTATAAGGAATCATTACATGAAACATATTTTTTTAAAGGAATTAAGAAATGTCTTTCTATGTTATGGCTTATTTAGAATTTTTCCAAAATGTTACTTTTGGGAGTAAAACCCTGCCAGAGAAGAAGAGGACAACAATGAAATAAAAAGGCTGGTTTTTCCCCCTGTACATTTTTAAGAATTTTGAAAATTAACAAGTACAGTTTTTTCTTCTGTGTTTTTCTAGATCCCCTAAAATGTGTGCCTTGTTTTGTGTATGTGAGCATGTGTGCAAACGCTTATATCTGGTACTAGAATTTGCTCTTCTTCCTATTGTCCTTGAGCATCAACATTTGAGTCATTTATTTAAATCTGTTCTCATTTTGGAACCTCTGCTTCTTTCTACCACTATACTTCTGCTTCCTCCTTGTCTGAACAATGTTCTTGTATTAATTCAACTTAAGATAGATTTTTGGCATATCATCTTTAAGTAATGTAACTAAAACCTTCCTAGAATTTTTTAATACAAACAGTTATCAAGCTATATACCCTCATCCTTTATTTGCATGTATTATTCAAACATCAGTTTGAGACTTTATGCTTGTTTGTATAAAATTTCATCTCATTGGCTCTTTATTTCAGATCAGAGTTTTGGTTCCTGGTTATATCATCTGAAGTATTAGTTTTTCTTTTAAGAAATGAATCATTCATAGTTAAGATAAATATGACTTTTATTTCTTCAAACATTAATGATGATAAACTCATTTTTGTGTTTTCAATTTCATCCTCCCCATATTTCTGTTACGTTGGTAGTCTTTAAATGATTCATCAGTCCCTCACTTACTAAGTGCCTGCTGTGCTGTCCTTCAGGCACTGGGTTAAGCAGTGGGAATAATGAACCCAGTAAGACATGATTCCTGTCTTCAGGGAGTATGCAGCCTAGAGGAAAAGGTTACACAAGTAAATCATTAGTTCCAGTGCATCTTTGCTCTAGGAGAGGTGTGCACCGAGTGGTGTCATCCCCATTTTTCTTTGAGAATAGCAGGAACAGGCCAGGCCACATAGAGACGGTTCCATGTGGAGTGGGCTTTATAAACTCATAGGAGAGAGACTGTTCTCTTTCAGCCACATGCAATTCTATAACAGTCACTATCTGAAGGATCTCCATTTCCTTTATGCACATTCATACCTGCAGTGTAGCTAAGAATGCCACCTTATTACTGGTTTGCTAACTGGGTTTACCACAATGAAATTGCAGAAGCAGGGTAGCACCGATACTAAACTAACCAAACTAAGTTGTTGGGATTTGTTTTAATGACGCTTAGCCTATCTCTTACACTCTGGTTATAGTAATTTCATTTCTCACTCTTAAACTGTCTTTCTCTGATTAAGACGTTGTTCTCCAGATATCTGTTATAAGCAGTGTACTCTCCCAGGATTGTATAATTAATGCAAACTAGCATTTTCAGGAGAGTATGAGTAGATGCCATTGGTGAGGCAGTGGGGATGATGTTCTTATACAAGCCTCTTATGTTGTGTGTTTTTGTCATTGTTTTAGTTTCTAGAATATTCTTATCGGTAGCTCTAAGCTCTATATTTGCTTTATTTTTTTTCTTATTACATAAGTTATAATGTGGAGTAACAAATAAGCAAAATCATTAAGCCACAGTTACTTAAAAATATAGCTTGGGGAAGATAGATAGATAGATAGATAGATAGATAGATAGATAGATAGATAGATAGATAGATACACACATACATGTATGTATGCATATGTATACGTGAATGTATAAATATATATCTATTTTGCCTCCCTGATTAGATGACTTTCCAGAATCCACAGGAGTAAAGCGAATTGTTCAAGCCTTAAATGCCAATGTCTGGTCCAATGTAGTGATGAAGAATGGTAAGTAACTTGGGGCTAAAAGTCCTAAGGAGATTTTTCTTCCTGTTTCTTGTAAGTTTTAAATTATTCAGATATACGTGGAACCATTAGGATTACATGAAATCTGTAGATTTGGTCAATTTTAAATCCCCAGTTGAAGCAAGAGCCAAAAATAATATCTCTAAGAATTTTTATTATATGTATAATAGTTAATTCAGTAAGAATTTAGGGCTTGCCTATAGTATGCCTAGCATTGTCTTTGGCTTTGAGAAGTGCCCCCAATATTGTAAAACATGAACCCTCTCCTTAAGGAGCTCATAGTCCACCTGTGGAATCAAAGTGTGCACTTTTAAAACGCTAGGTACCCATGCAAGGCTGTCTGTGACGGTGTAGAATGACGGATAGAAGCAGTGCATGCCAGGAAGTCAGAGGAGTGGCTGGTGCTGTGGGCTGGAGCATACAGAGAGAGCTTCAAGGAGAAAGCGGGGCTTCGTAGTAGCCCTCATGGGATGGTCAGGATTTGGATTGGTGAAGGGGGAGAGTGATAAGCAGGGGAGGAAGCATGGCATCAGTAATAACGGTTGTATATTCTAGGGTCACTAATGGAATCTCACCTAGCAATTGGAGCTAGCTTAGAAGAGAGAAGCCTGAATGCTTGGCAGGAAAATCTGGTCTTTTTACTATAGGAATTGGTGAATCACTAGAGATTTTTTAACAAGAGAGGGATGCATAAGAAGTTGGCATCTTTGAAAGACTAATACCATGGTAATGTACAGGTGAGTTTGGTAGTGGAAGCAAGTGGAGTAGAGAGTCTGGAGTCAGGGAGACCAGGCAGTTGTTGCAATACTCACAAGTGGGTTGTTGGGGTCCAGTCTAACGTGGTGGCCCTGGCCAGGGGGTGAAAAGCTGGATCTGAAATACAGTATGAAGCTGGTAGGCTAGTTAGTGCACATGCGCCTTTCGTCTGTATCAGTTTTCTGGGGCTGCAGTAACAAAGTACTACAAACTGGATGGCTTAGAACAACTGGTATTTATTGTCTCACAGTTCTAGATGCCAGAAGTCCGAAATCAAGGTGTCAGCAGGGCCATGCTGCCTCTGGAGGTGATAGGGAAGGGTCTGTTCCAGGTCTCTCGTCTAGCTTCTGCGAGTTCTTTGGCTTGTGGCAGCATAACTCCAGTCTTCACATGGCATTCTTCCTGGGTACCGTCTGTGTCCACATTTCTTCTTTTTATAAAGACAATATCATATTGAATTAAGGGCCCACCCATCTCCAGTGTGACTTCATCTTAACTAATTACATCTGTAATGACCATATTTCTAAATAAAGTCACCTTCTGAAGTGTTGGGGATTAGAACTTCACCAAATGAATTTTGGGAGGATACAATTCAGCCCATAACAAAGCCCTTCAGGAACTGCTGGCTGAGTAGGGCTTTTCTCTCTTGTAGCAGTTGGAGCCTCAACAGGTATACTATGCTAGGTGAATAAGACAGGAATAAGAAAAATCATATTTATAGTGAGCTTACCCAGTCTTCCCTGAGATAAATGGTCAAGTGGCAGATCAGTTTTATAGATTTAAAATATTCCATCTCAATATTTGGTCAACACTTGAGTGTTCCATGAGCCTGGGCCCTGTAGCTTGCCTTAGATTGGAGCTAAACCATGCGATCGTTGGAGCGGCTCCTTCTGGCGCAGTGAGGTTCTCCTCCCTCCGTCCCACCTGATTCTTTCTAGGGGTTAGCTAATGTGTCTGTCGCACTGAATTGCTAAGATACGCGACACTATTTTACTGCAGTAGCATTCGGAATCAGACCCTGATAGATCTAGAAAAAATAAGGAGATTTTAGCCTCTGTTGTCATCTCCCTGTTGCCAGAACAAACTCAAATTGAGGCTTGGTCTTTCTCATTCATTTATTCAGTAAATCCTTGTTGAGCATTTATCATAGTGAGACTGTATCTTCACTATAAAAATGCTTTTAAGGTATGCTACATAAACTGAATCGATTGGGAATAAAATTTTATTCACTGGTGCTTATGATATTTATGAGAACTATTTTCAGAAAACCTTATTTGGCTTCAATCACTTTTTGAAACATCTGCCCCCTCAAGTTCACACATTGAAGAAGTACTGCCTTGTAATTTACATTTGCTGCTATAAATTTAGAGGTTGGACTGAACACACTTTATTACTTTCGAATTATGGTCAAAGGTTTTTTTCTGAAAAAATGCCATTCTGCTTGTTTTAGGCACTAAACAGCCTCCTTCAAAGAGCTGCAAAGCAACAAGGCACACTGGAGTTTTCATGGTTCTTTGCCCTGTAGTATCTTTGCTTTCTTCTTTTCTCAACAGTGTTGGTACATTGGTTTGCCATTAACCAAACCCCAGAATATTGCCATTAGTTTAATTCCATGTTTAAGAGGATCCCGGCCTATGTGGTATGAAGGAAACTTAATCATCTTTTCTCTAAGAGCTTTAGATACTGAATGAAGTACAGTGTCACTTGGATGCAGCCCAGGTCTTAGGAAGCGGGAAGGATGTGGTTCTATAGCCCCACATCTCAGAGACAAAGTTCTATGAATATATGGTGGGTCATATTACTCTCCCACGGTGACCTACCTCCTGTGCTCTTTGCAGAGCCTGGCTTTGCTGCTGGTCTGTCTGAGGGCCTGGTGAACTGCACCTTTCTCTCAACAGGCTTTTCTTGAATTGTCTACCAGCAGGTGCTCAGAGTGGTTTATTTATTTTAGAGGGTCTCTCCATCTTCTCTACTTTTTCTCTTTCATTTCCACCCCCCTTTTCTCTTCCCTTTTAATTTTCCCTTATTTTCTAAAAATTGTGATTAAATATACAAAGCATAAAATTTACCACTTTAATCATTTTTAAGTGTATAGTTCAGAGGTATTAAGTACATTCACATTGTTGTGCAGCCATCACGACTCAAAGCTTTTTAAAGCCAAAACTGTTTTTAACCAAAAAGTTGGTTAACAAAATAAGAAAGATATTAGAGGTATTCTTTTAGTATTTTTGTTTTTTTGGGCTTTTTTTTTTTTTTCTAACAGGAAATTCCACCAATTATTTAATGAAGGAATACATTTGAGAATAAGAGAGGTAGGCATACATACCTAATTCATTCTAAGGCTAGCTTAACATGATCCAAACCCCTAAAGATAGCATCAGTAAAGAAAATTATTAGAGGCGATCTCATTTGTGAACATAGATGCCATGATTTTAATCAAAATATTAGTAATCGTAACCCAGAGGTACATAAAAAAGAACATATCATGGCCTAGTTGGGTTATTCCAAGAACATAGCATTCTTAATATAAGAAATACCTATTTCAATTATCATAGAAACAGGTTACAGTGGTGGAAATCATATGATTATCGCAATCAATGAAAAAAGCATTTAAAAACGTCAGACTATACAGAAGAGGGAAATAAACTGAACAAATTAGAGATGGACTCCTGTGGCAGAAATTGATAATATGTCATATAATAAATACCATACTGAGTGTGAAACAGGGGCATGTAGACAGTGATGCCACCTCTCACTTTCAGGACACTAATGACTAGTTTTTCTGTTTGTTTTTATTAGAAAAATTACTGTAATCAAAATTGATTCTTGGGACTACTGTGTCTCCCGGAAAATAAGACCTAACTGGAAAATAAGCCCTAGCATGATTTTTCAGGATGCTTGTATTGTAAGCCCTACCCCAAACATAAGCCCCAGTTAAGATCATCAGCCATACATGACTATTTGAATAAATGTAGATTTTTGTACATGAATAAATGAAATTAATATAAAACCCGGTCTTATTTTGGGGGAAACATGGTATTACATTGCAAATTTCATAATTCAAGTAATTTGGGATTATATATTATCTATATAGTATTTAGCAGTAATAAAACATTGAAGTTATGCCGATCTCTAATTTTGTACTGATTCAGCAAAAATATATTGGTTTGAAACTAAAAAATCTATTTTAAATGTGCTCAGTTTGAAAAACAATTCCAATACTAGTAGTAAGAACTGAAAATTTAGCTATTCTAGCAAATAGCCCTGAAAATGTATAAATCTGACTTGGGTTTTATTTCTTTGCAGTTTATTGTCCACTTGGAGTTCAAAGGCCACATACTTAATCTGAAAACCTAGTTAATTAAAAACTTAGAAGTGGGTAGCTTCCTTTCTACCCTCCATCAGTATAAAGTGAATGTGTTTCCTAAATGGGAATTCATGATTTAAATGAGTAGCCAGCTCAAATCTTTCCTTATTACAGGTCTGAACAACTTACCTGGTTATAGGATATCCTAATAACTTTTACCTTTAGCCTGTTCCTTTAAGGTTAGTAATACACACACAACCAAAGAAAAGATAGGTTCGTTGAACTTCATCAAAAGTTAAAACCTTACGTCCTTCGAAGGACACTTGGGAAAGTGAAGAGATAACCCTCAGAATGGGAGATAGTATTTGCAAACTGAGTATCTGATAAGGATCTAGTATCTAGAATGTATAAAGAACTCTTATAACTCAATCATAAAAGGACAACCCGATTTAAAGATGGCAAAGTAGGTGAACAGACATTGTTCCAAAGAAGATACACAAATGGCCAGTAAGCACATGAAGAGGTTTTCTTAACATCCTTAGCCGCTAGGGAAATCCCAACCGTGATGAGCTACCACTTCACACCCACCAAGTTAGCTATAATTACAAAGGAACAATGAGAAGTGTTGGTGAAGACGTAGAGAAATTGGAACCCTCATATACTGCTGGTGGAAATGTAAAATGGTGCTGCAGCCACTTTGGAACAGCAGTTGTTGCTCAAAAATTAAACCATATGACCCAACAATTCCGTTCATAGGTATGATACCCAAGAGAACTGAAAACATGTCCACACAAAAACTTGTGCACACATGTTTCTAGCAGCATTATTCATAATGGCCAACAGTGAAAAAAACTGCTGAATTTGAAACAACTGCTGAAAACAAAATATGTTATAATCGTGCAGTGAAATCTTATTCAAC